CGGTGGTGGGGCGTGGCGTGGTCGGAGAAAAAGCTCGGTTCGTGTGTTGAGGGGGAGGGGCTAAAGGGATGGCCAGGTCGGCTGAGGACCGGCGGTGGTAAGTGGTTTCGGAGAAGGCGGGCCGGCGAGGGAGCGCCGCCGGCCGCGGGCGCGGTGGCCGGCGGTTCGGCCGGTGGTGGCTGGCGGCTCAAGGACGTGGAGGTTGAAGAAGCACCGTGGGCCTTCGATTTTGCATTCAACGGCCGAGAAATCGACTGACCACAAATGAAAAATCAGCCGACTAATTTCTAGCCATTCCCAATGGAAAAAGTTTGGACAAGTTTCCTTGCCCCGAATCAAACTACCGAGTCCGTTGGAAACGTGGGTGTGTGAGTATTTCACATGAACGGTGCATGCGTATTTCACTGTTTATACGTATTTTACTTGTTCAATCAGCTCATAAAGGTCCTTTATTGTTACGTAACTTGTCATTACACATACAAGCACAACACAGCTGGCTCCGTTATTCTGCGGCGTAGGTAGCGAGAGACGCATGCATGTTGTTTATCCGGGACAGTCCACATCGTTTCTTCAGTAGTACTAGTAGATACGTACGTACGGCATGGGTAGGTTTGGGCATGTCGATCTCCACGCGTGCGTGCACCGTGCACGAGCCACGCACGCATGCATGGCACGCGCTGGCTGGCTCGCTCAGTAGTACGGCTGGAGCTTCCAGCGCTGGTTGTCGCCCTCGCACCACTTCCAGAGCACGACCTCGGTGCCGTCGCGGACGCCGCCGTGGTACTTGTCGCCGTTGAGGGCGTCGAAGTTGAGGTAGATGTTGTTCACCATGCGCACGCACCTGAACCCGTTGCCCACGTCCCTGCTCTCCGTCCACAGCACCGACTCGTCCAGGTAGTCTGGGTTGTACGGCACCAGACGCACCTGCATCATGCCGATCGAACACCCTGACGTTCAGCAAGTTCTGTCATGGTGATTCTTGATACCAATTTATGGGAATACTTACAGGGTGGGACTGGCCGAGGGAGTGCTTGATGGCCTGCCCGGTGGCCTTGTTCACCATGGCGAAGGCGGGGTAGCCCTCCTCGTCCTTGATGCTGGTGCTCCACCTCATGTCCTTGATCCAGTGCTGGTAGTCGTCCTTGGGGTTGGCCGGCGCCAGCACCACCTTGCCGTTGCGGACGGACATGGCGTAGTTGGGGTTGGCGCGGCAGTAGATCTTCACCGTGGGCTGCGGCGGCATCGGCCTCCCGCCGTAGTTGCCGTCGATGTTCACCTGCGACATGCCGTACGGCACCGGCGCCGCGTACCCGGGCGTCGCCATCCCGTACCCGCCGTAGGTCTCGCGGTAGTAGTCCATGGCCGGTACCTGCTCGATCTCCTGATCGACCTGCGCAATGCATGGCGACGGGACGGAGGAATTTATAGGGGCGACGGCCGGGACCATCATATTCCATTGGTGTGCTATAATACATGGCGTTGGCCTCACGCTGCCTGTCGGGTGATAAGCGATGTGCGGGGTGGTGGTGGTGGTGGGATTCCATGGGATAGATAGATAGATGATGCCATGGGACACTAGCTAGGTGGGAAAGATGTGGGTGTGCCGGACCAAGCTAGAGCGTGAGCTGGCTAGCTTTGCGTGATTCCATTTCTTTCTGGTAGTTTTGGGAAGAAGAATCCCTCTCGTACGTCCTCTATTATTGCTGGGGAGATAGCTAGCTAGGGGAAGCCGAATTTTACGTGTGCTCCTGCCGTGCTGTAATTTGTCGCCGCATCGATACGCCTCCATTTGCATTCCCGGTGTGCTCATGATGAGCTCGTTTCAAAAGGGCAGATTTTTCTCTTGAGAAGAACTTGAAAGGAAAGAAAGGAAAAAGAAATATTCGCGCTAGAAATGGCAAGATAAAGCGTCAAGACGGAACGGCTCATTTCCGTAATCTGGATCATATATATACTCGACTAGATACCGTTACGTAAATTAAACAATTGTACATGGCCCGGCAAGAAATATGGCATTGGACTCGTCTAATCATGGCCCAGCCTACCAGTACGTCCCAGCGCAAGACAAGGGGAGCTCCTCCTATACGCCGCTAACTGATTCGTTACACGGTAAAAACTTCACTTTTGGTGAGCCACCTTGGAGGTCTGCAAACCTGCATATCAGCGATGGAACCGCGTCGAGCTCGGGTGAGGAGGTGATCCATCATTCTTTTCTTCGGTGGCTACTATCGTGGTGTTGGAGGCAGATGATTGGCGTTGGTGTCAAACTCAGAGATGTTCTGCTATCTTTTCAGTTTTGTCATGTCGGTCTTTACGTGACTTGTACTTTAATCTTTATGATATGAATGAGACACGTATTATCATGCAAAAAAAAAACTGCAGCATACATATTTTGAAATTACCGAACAAAAATTGCAAACACGGTTTTTTAAACTTGCACAATTTTTTAAACCGGAACATTTTTTGAAACTCCTGGAAAAATGAAAATATGAATAATTTTTGGAAATTGTGGAATTTTTTTAGGACAGGAACATTTTTTGATTTTTTTTAATTTGAATAAAAACGTCCCAAACATTTTTTATAAAACAAGAACATTTTCTGAAATTCCCAAACATTTTTTTTAAATGAAAACATTCTTTATCATTTAAGAACCTTTTTTTAAAACATGAACATTTTTTAGAAACGCAAACAAATTCTGAACTTTCCGAACAATTTTCAAAAGAAACAAAAAACGGGAAAAGAAAACAGAAAAGCTGAAAAAGGAAATGAAACAGAAAAAACAAAAGAAAACCATAAAACTGGTGTAAAAATAAAAAAAGCCGGTTTAGGGAAGAAGGTTCCCAAAATCGGCTGCCTCGCTGTGGGGAAGTGGGCCGGCCCAATACTTGTGCTTGGGGGATCGCCCTGTGCGAATGCTCGGCATTTTGACGCAGTTAGCGTCAAATAGAATTTTCCCAAGACAAGATTGATGCTCCAAAAAAGTTTTTATGGAGTGCAGATTTTGTTTTTTTGCCACGACTTTCATGATGAAACTTTGCAAGCATTGAAAACATTTGTTAGTTTTCTACACAAAATTTTTAGAATATTTTTGCTTTTGTTTTTAATTTTTTTTTGAATTTTACTGTTCACCCGAGTTCATACGAGCTCGAGCTGAGAAGGGCACTTTTGCTTATCAGGTTGTATAGTTCAATCAACTTTTCAAGACCTTCAAGAGTAGTTTGGTTTGAGCTGATATGGTCTCATTTTTCTTGCATACGCACGAGTGCAGGTACTTTATATTAAAGAAGGGAGTGGGGTGAAGAGCCCCTCCACGTTAATAATGTAACATCTTACATGCACATCAACTCCACCGACTCTACCTAAAGACGAATCTAACTTGCCACGCTAGCCCAGCCTCCGTCTCCAACCCTTGGTAGACAATGTGTGTTGCCCTCACTTGTTTCCCGACCCTTGCGTAGATTGAAGGTGCAAGGTCCTGGACTCCTACAAAAGGGTATCTCCAACGCTGATCCCTAAATCGGACAATGTATCCGTCCACAGATTGGTGGGGTTCAGTCCACGAAAAATGATGCTGGAGCTGGCCATCCAACCGTGCCTGCATACATTTCAAATCGAATTTCAACAAACCGAACGATGCAAACATGATGGTTTCATCTAAACCAGAGCACATCATTTCATTTTTGACATATTTCATTAAACAAAAATGATCGGACCTTAACCTAGTCTAAATCTATGGTGGCGCCCGTCCCCCACTGTTGTTCTCCTCTAGCGTTGGGCATGTCCAGGTCCAGCGGAGTGAGACCTATGAAGTGAACCTGTGGTTGCCAATGAGGAACGATGGGACATGTGACACAGACTAACCCACTTGGGACTCGAGGCCACACTGCCTCCCATGCACTACTACTCCTCGTCACAGTCCGTGAATTGTTCATCCCCAGTAGACGTGAAGATGTGGACGGGGTCGACTTCGTCCTCATATCGGCGCCAACAAAGCATAGTTGGCGCCGCAAACGACGCACAACTGTCGGCATTCTCGCTTAAAACAACAACAACAACAACAACACTACCACCACCAATAACAACAACAACCTTTAGTCCCAAACAAGTTGGGGTAGGCTAGAGGTGAAACAGATCACACGACCAACTCATGGCTCTGGCACATGGACAACAAGCTTCCACGCACCCCTGTCCATAGCTAGTTTTCTCGTGATACTCCAATCCTTCAGGTCTCTCTCAACAGACTTCTCCCATGTCAAATTTGGTCTACCTCGGCCTCTCTTGACATTTTCCGCACGCTTTAGCCGCCCGCTATGCACTGAAGCTTCTAGAGGCCTGCACTGAATATGCCCAAACCATATCAAACGATGTTGGACAAGCTTCTCTTCAATTGGTGCTACCCCAACTCTATCTTGTATATCATCATTTCGGACCCTATCCTTCCTTGTGTGACCACACATCCATCTCAATATACGCATCTCCGCCACACCTAATTGTTGAACATGTCACCTTTTAGTCGACCAACACTCAGCGCCATACAACATTGCGGGTCGAATGGCCGTCCTATAGAACTTGCCTTTTAGCTTTTGTGGAACTCTCTTGTCACAGAGAATGCCAGAAGCTTGGCGCCACTTCATCCATCCGATTTTGACTCGATGGTTCACATCTTCATCAATACCCCCATCCTCCTGTAGCATTGACCCCAAATATCAAAATGTGTCCTTCTGAGGTACCACCTGCCCCTCAAGGCTAACCTCCTCCTTCTCACACCTAGTAGTACTGAAACCACACATCATGTACTCGGTTTTAGTTCTGCTAAGCCTAAACCCTTTCGATTCCAAGGTTTGTCTTCATAACTCTAACTTTCTATTTACCCCCTTCCGACTATCGTCAACTAGCACCACATCATCCGCAAAGAGCATACACCATGGGATATCTCCTTGTATATCCCTTGTAACCTCATCCATCACCAAGGCAAAAAGACAAGGGCTCAAAGCTGACCCCTGATGTAGTCCTATCTTAATCGGGAAGTCATCAGTGTCGACATCACTTGTTCGAACACTTGTCACAACATTATCGTACATGTCCTTGATGAAGGTAATGTACTTTGCTGGGACTTTGCGTTCTCCAAGGCCCACCACATGACATTCCGCGGTATCTTATCATAGGTCTTCTCCAAGTCAATGAACACCATATGCAAGTCCTTCTTTTGCTCCTTGTATCTCTCCATAAGTTGTCGTACCAAGAAAATGGCTTTCATGATCGACCTCCCAGGCATGAAACCAAACTGATTTTTGGTCACGCTTGTCATTCTTCTTAAGCGGTGTTCATTGGCTCTCTCCCATAGTTTCATTGTATGCTCATCAGCTTAATTCCACGGTAATTAGTATAACTCTAAACACCCCCCTTGTTCTTGAAGATTGGTACTATATACTCCGTCTCCATTCTTCTGGCATCTTGTTTGCCTGAAAAATAAGGTTGAAAAGTCGGGTTAGCCATACTATCGCTATGTCCCCGAGGCCTTTCCACACCTCAATGGGGATACAATCGGGGCCCATTGCCTTGCCTCCTTTCATCCTTTTTAAAGCCTCCTTGACCTCAGACTTCTGGATTCGCTGCACAAAACGTATGTTGGTCTCATTAAAGAAGTCGTCCATTTCAATGGTAGAACTCTCATTCTCCCCATTGAACAACTTGTCAAAGTTCTCGCTTAAAACCACTACAAATTCAAACACCAAGCACCAAAAAGAGAGACACATGATATATAAGTATAGTTGGGGGAAACACGATGTGAAGGCAAACAAAACATCAACATTTAGCCGCACTTGAAGATCTTCAAACACTAGGAGGCATCATTCAAGGTTCTTCTCCTTTTCTACCTCAACCACTTGTCAGTTGAAGAACTCCAGAACACCACCTCCTAGCTACATCGAAAACTTCACTTTTTTTCAAACGAAGGCAAAAGCTTTGCATCATCCATTAAATAAGAGAGAATAGAGTTTGTTACAAGTTCACCCATTCACCACATGAAAGAATTATTATTCTTGCAATGTTAAAGACCCTTATTTTTTAGCACCAGCCATGCCCCAAAGGTTGGCCTCGGTCGAGATGATATTAAGCAAGATTGTCGGTGAAGCGCTTTTAAGCCTAAAAACTCTTGTGTTCCGCTCATTTCAAATTATCCACGACACAAGCATGGTGTGGGAGGCCTTGCTTGTCAATTTTGTGTCCCGCGGCACATGTGCTTGCCTGCCAAGCTTCAACCGAGTCCATCAAGTGCCGAGTCCATCAAGTGCCAGGAAGAAGTGTCCAACCCAAGGATGTGAAATTTCTCAACTACCAAGGCCCAAAGCCCTAGAGTGTAGCGGCACTTGAAGAAATGATCAACAATTTCATCATATCCACAAAAATACACACTTGATTTTCTTTGAGGGCAAAAAGAGAGCTCATGTAATTGAGTATGATTGCACACACTTGATTTTCAGTTTAAATATTGTAAAGATATTGGTAGTGAAATTTCCAGCGTTGACATTTCCCCCGAAGAAAACCTTTTACAGTATCTGAGAGAGTTGACGACCACGACGACAAGTTTGCGCAGGAGCATCAGGTGGCTTTTTTCGCACAGTGGACTCTTGCTTGAGTCCCACCCTCACAACAATGATAATTGGCGAAGAAATAGCAACGCAGAAACTATAAGAGATGAACAAGCAAGGCCCCGGTGGCCAATTAAGCCTGTTTGATCTGGGAAATTGGGCGTGGCAAAAGCTGATGAACAAGCAAGGCCCCAATGGGCACACCAAACGTAGTACGAGAAAGGTGGAAGATAGGTGAGCCCATTGATTAGATCAAAGAAAAATAGACAATGCAGGTCACAGAGTAGCACAGTACAGGGCCCAGTACCAAGAAAAACACAGACGAGTTACATCAAAGTTCAGACTTCAGAATCATGGTCCCCCTCCTCACTCTCTCCAACACTCTCTTCTTCCTCGCAGAAACGCCGGCTCAATCAATCACAAAGCGACACACGACGCACGCACACAGACACCATTGCCACACATCGCACACGGTTTTATTTGGACACAGCAACATTATTCGCCACCAGCGGCAGAGGACTACGACGACGACGGACGGACGGACGGACGACGACTACGACGACTCGGCGGGCTTGTCCCCGGACTAATCCATGGCGATGTGTCGATGGCAATGCGGCAGCTCTCCTGGCACCTCATCTCTGCACGAAGCAACAATTTCACTCGTCAGAACACAGATGCAAGCAAAGATCATGCGAAATTAGCAGAGTGCTAGTATGCTTACACCAGGGGAGGATCTTCCAGCGCTGGTTGTCGCCCTCGCACCACTTCCAGAGCACGACCTCGGTGCCGTCGTGGACGCCGCCGTGGGCCTTGTCGCCGTGGAAGGCGTCGAAGTTGAGGTAGATGTTGTTCACCATGCGCACGCAGCGGAAGCCCTTGCCCACGTCGCGGCTCTCCGTCCACAGCACCGACTCGTCCTGGTACGCCGGGTTGTACGGCACCAGCTTCACCTGCACATGCACCATCACACAGATCTTGGTGAGAACTGCTGCCAGATGCTTCTCTGCTCAAATCATGCACAATCTTTGTGGTGTGGGTGCTTACGGGGTGGCCCTGGCCGGTGGAGTGCTTGATGCATTCGCCGGTGACCTTGTTCACTATTGCGAAGGCAGGGTACCCTTCCTCGTCCCTGATCTTGTTGCTGTGCCTCATGTCCTTGATCCAGTGCTGCACAAAGATCCGGTAATTTCAGTTTCAGAGATCGCCACACGACACGACAGGTAAAAAGAAAGGACTCTGTTCTGGTCAAGTAGAAAGCAGAATTGACCTGGTAGTCGTCCCTGGGGTTGGTGGGGGCGAGGCAGACGGTGCCGTTGCGGGCGGTGAGGCTGTAGTCCTCGCCGGCCTTGCAGAAGATGCGCACGGCGTGCACGGGGGGCCCGCCGCCCATGGCGTGGGCGTTGTTGCCCATGGTGGCGCCGGACTCGACGGCGGCGTGCGCCTCGGCCCACGGCCAGATCTTCCAGCACTGGTTGTCCCCCTTGCACCACTCCCAGAGCACGACGGTGGTGCCGTCGTGCACGCCGCCGTGGTCCTTGTCGCCGTTGAGGGCGTCGAAGTTGAGGCGGGTGTTGTTGACCATGCGGATGCAGCGGAAACCCTTGCCCACGTCCTTGCTCTCCGTCCACAGCACCGACGCGTCCTCGTACGCCGGGTTGAACGGCACCAGCTTCACCTGCAACACCATCCCCAATCCACCACGCGCATGTCAAGAACTCAAGATCAATCGAATCGAAGCAAAAGACGGACGATCTGATTCTGATGGAGCGAACAGAAGACTTACGGGGTGGGACTGGCCGATGGAGTGCTTGACGGCGAGGCCGGTGGCCTTGTTGACGAGCGCGAAGGCCGGCATGCCCTCCTCGTCCTTGACGGTGGTGCTGAAGCGCATGTCCTTGAGCCAGTGCTGGGTCTCGTCCTTGGGGTTGACGGGGGCGAGCACCACCTCGCCGTCGCGGACGGCGAGGCAGTAGTCCTCCGAGGCCCGGCAGTAGATCTTGAAGATCTGGTTGGGGCCCGACGCCGCCGGCGCCTGGTCCTTGTGGTGGTGCCCGAACCCGAACATCTTGGCGGCGAGGAGAGCGTGTGTGATCGACTAGAGAATGGTTGGAGCTGTGTGAGTGAGGAGAGAGCGCTGCCCCATGGCCCCGTTTTATAGAGCGGGGAGCAGAGCAAACCTCAGTCACCACCACTCACGCGCTGTAAAATCTTGAAAATCTTTGGAGCATATCTCCAGCGGCCTGGAATAAATGGTAAAAAATAATTACAGGATACGCTCGCTCGATCGCTGCCAGTGCAGCACTAGCCGTTTGGCGTGAATGTACTACCGGAAGATTTTGGTTCGATTAGCAAGATTTTGGCTCGATTGACAGCAGTAGCCGGTTGCAGCCAGTGCCAAAGTTTTGCTCAGCATTGGCTGTATGCATGCAAATATATGCAATGGCCAAAAATGCCAGCAGCATACTATATAAATTGCTGTATTGGTGGAGTACAATTAATGTATTTTGTATTTTGCACCCCATCCATTGTCTAATCCTAGCAGTGTCTTCTTCTGGTAGTACTTAGAGGCTAAGTATCCTGATAATTAAAGACTAAATATTTTTCTCTGCTCTTGGATTATTTTGGTCCTACAGCAGTACTACTAGTGTCAGATTTCAGCTGACACTTGGCATTGCCTTGCTACAGAGCCGTTTGATGTGAATGTACTGGAAGGTTCTGGTTCGATTTACTATCTACTACTACTCCACTGTTTTCCTCGGCATTAACTTTCCATTAGCTGTATGCATGCAAATGCGCAATGGCCAGCGTATTATGGATTAGTGGAGTAGAGTTAATGTTTTTTGTATTTTGTACTCCATCCACTGTCTCATGTTAGCGGCGTTTTCTTCTAGTATACTTTTTTCTTAGAAAATCTAGTGCACCCATCCTTACTGCCAACGCCCACCCTTAAACCTTACGCAACCGTCCGGACCCCGGAAGTCATCCAACGCGGTTGTGTATCGGTCCGCGACGCGTTTCGGACATGTTTTCTCGCGCAAACCAGAGATAAACGTGGGGGAGTTTTGTGGGAGTCCGGACCGCTCCCAAGCCCGTTTCTGACAGCCCCGGCACACCAAAAACCCCTCTCCCCTCCCGCACCTTTTCCGTCAGCGCCCGCTTCAGAGCATCAGCGCCCGCATTCATGCCTGGCCAGGGCGGACGAGACCGTTCACTGGCACCAACATTGAAGCGGCGCGCCAGCCGGGAGAGCGCCGCCCGCGCCTCTTCCTGATGAAGGCCACTGCCGCATGTTCAAACGACACGACGGCCAACCGTCCGTCCGTCTGCCACCCACATTGATGGCATGTGGTTGCCGAGGTGCCTCCTCCGGCGCCACCCTTTGTCCCTCTGTCGCCCACCATGGCTATATAGACCGCTACCCTGGCCATAGCCGCAGTCATCCACCTCCGATCTCTCTCCACATCACTCTCACCAGGGATCCCTTCCCTGGCAAAGCTCTCTAGGACGGGCTGACGTCGGACCAGAAGAAGGAGATGGCCGCCATTGCTGGCGGCTGGTTGGCCTGTAAGCAGCCGGAGGACACTGCGACGATGAACCGGCGCCGCCCTCATCCTCCGAGCCACCCTCCTCCTCCTCCACACCACCCTCGCCGATGCATTGCACCCTGACCAACGGGCGAGGCCCATACCCATTATATGGACATGTGCGGGAGGAGCGGGAGGAGTACTTTTGGGAGGTGCAGGCCGACACCTCCTACAACAACCACCTCCTACAGGAGCACGTGCAGGCGGAGCAGCTCACCGCCGTCAGTGTTGTCGCGCCGAGTGCGAACCGGGCGGAGCAGGAGGTGCTGCTCGAGTCCTACCGCTCCGAACCGAGATCCGCCTCGCTCACTGGCGATACCGCCAGCGGGTGGCGGAGGTGGCCGCCGCCTATATGAAGAGCGACGACGCGGGCGAGGTGATGTTCGGCAAAACTGACGATGAGGAGAAGGACATCGCTGAATCCGCACTCCACCGCGGCGACCACAAAGCCAACACGTCCGCGGGCGCCGCCAACAACGACGAAGAGTAGTGCACGGTAGGTTGTCGCCGCTCGAGTTACAAAAAGGCCACAACTCCTCCCCTCCCATCGGTGCCAAGCTTGGTGCGCTCACCATCTTTGACCGGTTAGTCGCTTGGCGGCGACGTGGAGGCGGACAACTTCTGTTCTCGGGGCTCCGGAGGAGAAGGTTACGGAGGAGGAGCTAGAGAGCGCCGAGGCGGAAGTGGAGACGATGAAATTTCAGTTCTCAGGGCTGATGGCCGAACACAGGGAACGGGCGCCGACGACCATTTAGATTAGGTTTTAGTTATACCTTCAGAGCCAGACTAGCACCCCTTTGATATAAATGTAATGAAATCCGTCATGTTTATATGAAATCCAGACGTGTTTATATGAAATCTGTCATGTTTATACGAAATCCGACCGAGTTTGCACGAATTTCATTTGGTTTATTGAAAAAGAGTTTGAAATGTATGCAGCTACGGTTGGATGGCGTCCTCCCGCATCCTTGTCCGTGGATAGGTACCCATGTCCACGGACGAATACAAGAGGATTTTTACGGGTTGCCGTTGGAGATGCCCTAAGAGCATCTACAGCTGGGCGCCGCAAACCCGCCTCATACGCCCGGGCGGGCCACCCGGTCACTGTCCGGTGGCAAAATTTGACCCAGACGAATGCCTCAAATAGGCCTCAGACGCCCGGGCTGACCGACACCCCTCATATCTAGCCCAAATATGGGACGGATATGGGCGTGCCCGGGCACGCCCGCCACGTCGGACCTGGCCCATGCTAGCCCTCCCGACCGCACATATGTTCCTCCCAATCCGCTTGCCAGACCAAACCCTAGCAACTTCACTCCACTCCACTCCACTCCCCTCCGCCACCCGAGCTGACCTCCGGCTGTTTTCCCGCCTTCTCCAGCATGGCAGGCATCGGATTCAAGTCCTTTACCTCCTGATCCATTGACGCCGAGCTCATCCCACGCGGCGCTGAGGAGGAGATGGACGTCCGACTTGCACTTCGCTGCTCCCGGGAGGAGGCCCGTGCAAGGCAGCGCTCAGACTCCTTTTGTCAAGAATCTATTACGTCCACTGAAATGGTGCGTGGATCCGGTGCTAGGGCAATCATAGCTGCCTTGCTGGAGGTGGTGCAGTCTGTCTAGCATTCGAACGCGGTGGCGGATGCGCAACCCCTCCGTTGGCGCGCGGAGCATCGGGACGCACCATGTGCCTCGTCCAACGAGAACATGGCATGGCATGTGATGTCGCTTGAAGCCACGTCATTTTTTCCCCAAAGAGGAAGGGATGATGCAGCACAGGGGTGGTAGGTATTTCTCTCAGATACGAAACCAAGGTTATCGAACCAGTAGGAGAACCAAGCAACACAACATAAACAACCCCTGCACACAAATAACAACTCCTCGCAACCCGACGTGTTAAAGGGGTTGTCAATCCCTTTCGGGGTATGGCGCCTCAAGATAGGCAAAGGACGTGAGGTAAATTTGTATATAGGATAAATAGATCACGGAACAAATATATTGCAGCAAGGTATTTTTGTATTTTTTGGTTTAATATATCTGAAAATAAACACAAGGAAAAAGTAGATCGCAAGGCAAATATATGAGAAAGAAGACCCGGGGCCGTAGGTTTCACTAGTGGCTTCTCTCAAGCAAAATAGGAAACAGTGGGTGAACAAATTACTGTTGGGCAATTGATAGAACTTCAAATAATCATGACGATATCGAGGCAATGATCATTACATATGCATCACGTCCAAGATTAGTAGACCGACTCCTGAGTGCATGTACTACTATTACTCCACACATTGACTGCTGTCCAACATGCATCTAGTGTATTAAGTGCATGTAAAAATGGAGTAATGCAATAATAACGATGACATTATGTAGACAGGATTCGTTTATCTATTGCGGCAGATATGGATCCCATCTTTTTATCCTTAGTAGCAACGATATATACGTGTCGGTTCCCTTTCTGTCACTGGGATCAAGCACCGTAAGATAGAACCCACTACCGGGCACCCTTCCCATTGAAAGATAAATAGATCAAGTTGGCCAAACAAAAACCAAATATCAGAGAAGAAATACGAGGCTATAAGAGATCACGCATATAAGAGATCAAAGAACTCAAATAACTTTCATGGATATAAAAAGATATAACTGATCATAAACTCAAAGTTCATCGGATCCCAACAAACACACCACAAAAAGGACTTACATCATATGGATCTCCAAGAGATCATTGTATTGATAATCAAGAGAGAGAGAGAGGAAGCCATCTAGCTACTAACTACGGACCCGAAGGTCTACAAAGAACTATTCACTCATCATCGGAGATGCACCAATGAAAGTGGTGAACCCCTCCGTAATGGTGTCTAGATTGGATCTCGGTGTTCTGGACTCTGCGACAGCTGGATGAAAATTTCGTCGACTCCCCTAGGGTTTCTGGAATATTGGGGTATTTATAGAGCAAAGAGTCGGTCCAGGGGGCACCTGAGGTGAGCACAACCCACCTGGGCGCGCCCAGGTGGGTTGTCCCCTCCTCGGGACTCCCCCAGGTGCAACCAGGGCCCATTGTGTTCCTTCTGGTCCATAAAAAGTCATCGTAAATTGGCGTGGTATTTGGACCCCTTCTGATATTGATTTCCTGCTATGTAAAAAACATGCAGAAAACAACAACTGACACTTGACACTATGTCAATAGGTTAGTACCAAAAATGATATAAAATGACTATATAATGATTATAAAACATCCAAGATTGATAATAAAACAACATGGAATGATCAAAAATTATAGATACGTTGGAGACGTATCAGCATCCCCAAGCTTAACTCCTACTCGTCCTTGAGTAGGTAAGTGATAAAACAGATTTTTTGATGTGGAGTGTTGTTTATCATGTCATATTATATTCTTTTCTTCATAGCATGGACATTTGGACTTTTATGTGATTCAAAGCAATAGTCTAGTTTTGACATAATAATTTAGATACTCAAGTATATCAACA